CCTCAAATAACAGCATCCTCAAATAACAGCATATATAATCGTGCTCTCTCTAAAATCAAATTATTCCTCGACTTAAAACCTTCTCGCTTTCACTCAAAAATCTCCACATGCCTTTATACAAACGGGTGTGCTCTTGCGGGCAAACGAACAATGCTCAGAGTAAGAGTGCACCAGATATATGTAGCAAGTGCCGGAAGCACAACGTCCGCAGCTGGACATGCTGCTGTAGCCAGAAGAACCTGTTTCTAATCTTCGGTGGCCCGGGTCCATGTGTTACATGCGGGAGCACAATGTGCTGCGATTGCATACTGGAAACTACTGAGATAACAACGAAATGATATGTATGTTGAACGAAGAGAGATGAGGGTGCCTACCATTTCTCAGAGACTAGGTATATCTTTCATATTAGCATATCTATGGCTTGTTAGAAAATGGCCGGGGATTATTGATAAGAAAACAGTCTACTAAAGAAAAAAAGGTATATCATGTGATCACGGAGTGACATTGATAGCTCGCACCCCTCTCCACTAATTTTTATAAAACTCAAATCAGGTACAGATAGCTTTGTCTGACTGCTAGGAATTTTATACGGTAATCGTAGAGAACGCCCATGCTTGGCTGTAGGAACTTCGGGCTAGCCTTCGCGGTAGTGTCACGGCCTTAGCGCCAATTGATTTCGTGGGGCTTTCGCTCGTATGATATCGCTGGTACTTGTTGGTGGTCTGATGGCTGCTGGACTGCATGATAGAGGAGAGGGGAGCGGAAAAGGAAAAGAAGCCCCGTGGCCGCTTCAATTTGGAGGGGCCTGTACCTCAGTCGATTGTCCTAGGTAACCAGGACGGTGTTCTTGCGCAGCCACTGCCGTTCGCTACAACTACTACGTACAGCTGGTGGCGATTGAGCGAAATTAGATGTACGTAGCGAGTTCAGTTTTACCAGAGGGAGCGAGCGGAAGTTGGTCGTGCACCGAGCTGTGTGTAGTTTATTATTCGAGAGGAAAACGATCGAATGCACGTCCCCATAGCTGTCCCCAGCTTCTCGCTTGCGGGGCTTCGGGAGTGCTCAATTGCAGCTCATGCCGCTCTGCCGCCGGCAACCTATCCCAGGTTGAGGAAATGATCCTTGATAGGCATCCAGGCGAGGTCATCTTGCCGAACGCTACTGCAAAATGCTCAAAGCGGGGGAGATATGCAGGAAGCACTACCTAGCTCTTTGCCCAGTGCTTCAGAAAGCTGCCATGGTTCATCCCCGGCATAGTTCGAGCTCACCCCTCCCTTGTAGCTTCTACGAGCAGCATTCCTAACATACCCTCTTACAGCTTTCACGCCTCTATCAAGTATGGGTCTGTTCGCCCTGTTGTCTGAAAGTCGATGGTACTTAGTTGCTACCGTCATTATTTTCTATGTCAGCAGGAAATACCGGCAATATAATCGTCTCAAGGCTTTCAAAGGACCTTTTGGTACTGGGTTTTCAGAACTATGGCACTCTCGGGCGATCTTAGGGATGGAGACACACTTGCGGTACGCAGAAGTATGTGAGAAATACGGTAAGTCCCACATTAGGATCTGCAATAGCAATAGCTAATAGTGAACGCGCAGGCCCAATTGCCCGTATAGGTCCGAACGATCTAATGACCTCGTCCCCCGAGCTTGTTAGCCGTATGAGCGCTGCTCGCTCCCCATATACTAGGGCCGCATGGTTCTATGGAGCCCTTAGCTTCGAGCCAGGAAAGGATCATGTTTTCAGCGAGCTAGATGAAAAGAGACATGCGCGAAAGAGACAACAGATGGCTGCTGGAGTAATCCCCTCGCTCTTGCATTCTACTTGGGCAGTGCTTACCATGGCGAAACAGTACTCTGGGAAAGACAATCCCTCCCTTGAGCCGTCAATTGACAACCGTGTCCAAGAGTTGTTAGATTTGATCCGCACCAAATATCTCTCGTCGAACAAATCGTTTAAGCCTATGGACCTAGCACGAAAAATACAATACTTCACGCTAGATGTCATAAGTGATATAGGGTTTGGAACACCATTCGGCAACCTTGCTGCCGATGAAGACGTAAATAAATACATCCAGTCTAATGAGCAAGGCTTACGAGTTATGGTCGCCATTTTCGCCTTTGGCATAACTAAGCTCTCTAAACTTCCACCACTAGCCCAGTTACTTGGTCCTTCTGAAAAAGACGGATACGGATTCGGGAAGATGATCGCGTAAGTAATGGCTAGGATCCAAGGTCATTACCCAATTCTGATGGCTTTATATCCAGAACTGCAAAGCAATACATTGAAAAGCGTTTAGCATCTGGCGCGCAAGGCCGCCACGATATGATTGCTTCGTTTGTCAAGCACGGCATGACCAAGGATGAACTACTCACAGAAGGTGTGCTTCAAGTAATGGCAGGCTCAGACACAACTGCAACGGCTGTACGCACTACAATGCTATGTTTAATGACCCATCCTTCCTCTTACTGGGCGCTCCGAGCTGAAATCGACGCCACTGTGAACTCAGGAAAAGTACCTGCATCTCCAGGGATTATTCCAGATTCGGTGGCTCGAAACTTAAAGTATCTACAAGCAGTTATCAAAGAAGGCATCCGTGTGCACCCCACCATAACTGAAATCATGCCCAAGACAGTACCTCCAGAGGGCGATACTTTCGAGCTTGATGGAAAGCAAATTTTTCTCCCCGGTGGCGCGAATATCGGGTATTGCGCTTGGGGTATACACCGAAATAAGGATATATTCGGTGAAGATGCAGAAATTTTTAGGCCGGAGCGGTGGTTAGACGAGATTAACGAAGAGCAACTCAATCGTATGCAAAGGACCTTTGATCTAATGTTTGGCTTCGGTAAGTATCAGTGTTTAGGAAAGAACATCGCCATGATTGAGTTGAGCAAATTAGTGTTTGAGGTAAGCCTACTTTAACAACCTTAGATATAGGAAGACTCTGCCTCACTATTGTTATAGTTTTTCCGGAACTTTGATATGGAAATAGTTAACCCAGAAAAGCCATGGACTAGTACGAATACGCTAGGTGTCTTCCTTCAAGAGGATATGTGGGTCCGGGTGACGGAAAGGACTACGATCCCGTAGAATTTAGAAACAACAAGATTTTCGATTCCACAAAATTATTGATGTTTTGTTGAACCACCTGCAAACTCCTGCTGGTAGTGGCTAAGACTTTCTTCCAATTCCGGCATTTCGAAGAATCCCTAATCAGCACCATCGAAATGAAACAGGGCCTAGGCTTTTTACTCATCACCTCTGGCAACAAAGATTTCCGTAACTGTTCTTCACAATGACAGATTCAACACGAACGTAGCTGCATTTCAAAATTTCTCGTTTCGTAATTCTCAGCTCACACCCTCGCATCCGTTGTTATACAACAAATTAAATACTAGGTTACAAATTACTTGAGGGCTATGAACGGCATCAAAAAGAGTTAGACGGCGATTCGTTCTGCCACCATATTATCAGGACAATGGTTAGGGTTCGTCTACATAAAGGAGGCAGTTCGTTCGATGATGCTAGCGAACGAAGCTCCTGGACTAAGCCTACATAAACCAGCCGTCGGCGGCCAGTAATAAAATACTAAAAATAGACAATCGCATAACAACTTTCAATTCCAGCGACTACTTGGCTTATCGAAGATATTTTTTACCGAGAATCATATGGTTAGATCATCAAGGGTTAACTACTACGTATCTTTGGAAGGGACGAAGCGACTCACTTACTTCTCTTTTTCCTTTGGTCCTTCTTCCTCGTGCCGCTAGTATAGGGGTCCCGTCAATCAGCTTTCCGTCCTGAAAGGAATTTGCTACGCTGCTGGGCTTGCACTTCATTCGGTATCGGCAATTGATCTGGACAAGTCCGCGAATGACTTTTCACTGTCGTAACTCGAACTGAAAATATCTCCCAGTACTCCGCTGAAGTGAACGGCTTCATCCAACGTTGATAGGCTTGGTAGCGTTACCAAAATTTTACGCGGCCTGCAAAATATTTATGGTGGTTGTGCAACATCTAGTGATCTAATTGGACTGGGTCAAAGTTGGAGCTCCAGCGTGGAGCCGAGGC